CCCACCTTTCAGAGAACATCAAAATGGGCGCGGGATCTTAAAGGAGTTGCGGGTTGATCACTAAATACCAGCAAAGTCTAAGTAGCATCGGATCATGAAACGGTCAAAGGTTCTCCCGCACAATCGTCCGTCAAGCTGGGCAGATGTATAATCAGCCATACTATCTGGATCTACGTCTTGATCTGGTGCAGCTAGTTATTTAACCATCAACGGAGATCTTATCGAAATCTGACCCGATTCAGAACACGCTTCTGCCTGGAAGACGAGAGGCTAACGTTGGCTCACAGCGAATTAAAGTTCCATTAGAATGACGCCCACCTAAAACAAGAATCGTTGAAGGGCTTCTGAAGAAAAACACAAATAACGCCTCACACATCTACAAATCTGCCTCCTACAAGGCTTCTGACTGCTCGGAAAAATTACGGCCTCTGCTAGCGATCAGATGCCATTGTTACACCAATGACAGATGCGTATAACAAACATGGACAGTCAACATTCCAGTCCCTGCTACCAGAGCAAGAGAGGGAAATGTCGAGAGGAAACTGAAGAAAAGTGAGGAATACATTACGAAATGATGCACGTCTGAACGGATCGGACGGCGAATGCAACTGTGTGGGCCAAAATGGCCGTTGGTTTCAGACTACCTGCGGCGCGTCATGGTCCAGACCTGCGCAATATTTGTAAGCCTTGCAGTAGACAAGGCATGGAAACAGATAAAATAAGGAGATGATTGCCAACTACCTTCCTGATTTCACTAGTTAAAATACATCTACCATTTCATACACATGCCAATATTAAATCCCAAAACACGAATATACAGCGTATGTAACGTTTCTACCATATCCGGTGGTATCGAAAACAGGGGAAAAATGCACTTCGCAGACGGTGGTCATTACCAGAGATGGGGCTTTTTCTAAGTGACGGAGGACCTCGGGAATTTAAGCAAATCATTTTCGCTGCATATCCATGTTCACCATGTTGCAAGGTTTAAGAAAATCTTGGGGGAGGACGCCTTGGATCCCTTCAAATATGCGGACAGTTCCCCCCGTGATCACACTGAGTTACGCATGGATGGAGCCCAGGAGGCACCCACAGCTGCCCTGACAAAGACAGGTTCGGACGCTAGCACCCGCCGGGCTGCCCCGAAGAAAGGCAGGACGGAGCCAAAAGGCCAACCCGCAGCTGCCCGGTGGAAAGGCAGGACAGAGCATGACACTCGTGGACCGCCCGAGGGCACGCAGGAACAGGAAGGCCATGGACACTCGTGGGTCGCCCGATGGCACGCACAGGACCAGAACCATGACACTCGGGGCCGCCGAGGCATGCGCAGGACAGAGCCATGACACTCGTGGACCGCCCGAGGGGGTGCGCCAGGACAGAGACAGAGGCATAACTACTACCAATAACAGTAGAACTTGATAGGCTGGCCATCTGCTGCCAAGAGATTGGCATTAATCGTATTCTTCCCTAAATCCTTCTTTAAGTGAGCACTTATCCGTACGCTGCAGTGCAGAACCAGTTTGAGGGTGGTCAAGGCATAATGGCTTCAGCAAATATGACGTGTATGCTAGCCCAGAAAAGTGGCATGGACAGCTTTTCTAGCGCTCCTGATTGGGTCAGAGCAGAACTTCAGAGAATAAACCTGACAGTTGATAATGATATATGAGTGTTGATGTTAGTGTTTTTCAAACTGTAATGCTATCCTGCCTGCCCCACGTGTAATACATCGCAATGCTTAAAGCTCAACACTTCTTGGGAACATGAGACAGCTTTGAAAGTTTTCCACGTAATACTTCGCTGTTTTCAGTTGGGAATGCGTTATGGAGTTGTTAATGACATGTTCTCCAATATTCGGTATGCAGACACGATGGAGCACCACACGCACTAACCACGACTCAGTGCCAATTAAAAACGCAGCGGGATAACATTCATTACAATAATGAGCCGACAGGAATAGTCCAAAAGCGATTAAATCGGATGACCGCAATCCCCGGTGTCAATCAAGACGAGTAGATCTCTGAGTTCCCGTTCTTTACACTCGCTTATGTGCCGCCTCCTGCACCCTCTCGGCCGGCTCTCCCTGACACCCACGCGACCCCCGAGCGTGGCATGCCTCCGTCTGCAGCCATGACACATTAAACCAAATCTCCCGTCGGATGGCTGCTACGCGACAGTCGGTCGGGCCGCGACCGAGCCGACCGGCGAGGACGGCATGCCGATTGCCCCACAGCTCGTCCCGCCCACTGAATCACGGAGGAAGGTATTATCCTCCGCCGGTCTGTCACCAGGATGCTGCTGATCGGCTCCGAGAATGCGTCACCAGGACCCTGAACAAAGAATGTCAGGATCGGTGGCGAGGATCGAGAATGTTGGCTGCTGCGATACATCACCAGGATTCAGTGTGCTGACGGCGGCGTCTGTCAACCATATCTTGCACGCTAGGCTATGATCGGCCACCAGCCACAGCTCACTGACTGGCATTATCAGTCGACACGATCCCAAGTACTGATTGTCAGGATCCGTGTCCCCAATCTTGAACCTGGACGGCTACAGCTCGACACAATAATTATATCTGCCTTGGCAGCTACCGTCTCGAGACGTGACCAACTGCCTCTCCAGTACTGCGAGGCTGCTCCTGGAAAATTAAGATCGCCTCCTGACAGGCATTCCGAGCGTGTTGCAATGTTACGTTATGTTATTTACCCAAAAATGCCTTTTGTGAATGATGCATGGTATTTCATGAGCAGCCCCTTATTCAGTTTATGAACAGTATTCACATATAACCGGATGACTTTTTCACTTTCGTTGGGCGGGGGTGTATTACAGTGCCCTGCTACATCGAAAACGAAAACATACTGGATAAGAAAAGAAAGCGACACCCAATAGCTTACGCATAGATGAGTATGATTAGTGCAACTAAGCATTGATGCAAATGATTTCCGACGGGTCAATTAAGGCCAACTAGTCCGTTATTGTTCGCAGCCGCTTTCCTTCTTCCAGACCTGTGTGCGCTAAGACAATGGGAAGAACAATCATCGTGTCGTACGTGGGCCACCAACCCATACACCGATAGTACCAAGCAGCATGTACGATCTGTGACACGCAAAAGCAGGCCAC